GTTTTCCAGAGGGGCTGCACCAGTTTACATTCCCACCAAGAGTGTAGGAGGGTGCCCGTTTCTCCACATCCTCGCCAGCATCTAGAGTCCTCTGATTTGCTCATTTTAGCCACTCTGACTGGCGTGATGTGGTATCTCAGTGTGGTTTTGATTTGTATTTCCCTGATGAGGAGGGATGCTGAGCATCGTTTCATGTGTCTGTTGGCCATCTGGATGTCCTCTTTGGGGAAGTGTCTGTTCATAGAAGACAGTCTGATGGGAGTGTAGAAAGAGAGGGGTGTATGAGATCAGAGAGAAAGGGAGGATCTTGCAGGCCACAGTGAATTTAGTTTTTAAGCATGAAGAAATGCCACTGAAGGATTTTAATGAAGGCAGTGACAGGACATGACTTACATTTCTATGTAAAGAACACTTTTCCAGTTCAATAGGAGAGACTGCATCATGAGGTTAAGAATGAAAATGGAGGAGGGGCACCTGAATGGCTCAGTCGGTTAAGTGTCTGGCTCTAGATTTTGGCTCAGGTCATGGTCTCGCAGTTCACGAGTTCAAGCCCCGCATCAGACTCCATGCTGAGTGCGGACCCTGCTTAGGATACTCTCTCTTCGTTTATCTCTGCCCGTACCCTGCTTGCACACAAAATAAGTAAATAAACTTAAAATAGAAATAGATAAAATTAGAAAATAAGAAATCTCTAGAAAAAAAATGGCAAGACTAGCTCTTACATTTGTTACAAGGCTACCGTGTCTCAACTGAGGCAGTGCAGAGGACAGAAGATGGGAAATCCAAGATAATTGGGGGCAATCGAATCAACAGGACTTGCTAGTCACCTGGATATAGGAATAAAGGAAAAGGAGGACTGTTAGGAATATAGGATCTAAGAATAAAGGAAAAGAATGACCAATGTTTTTAGTTTAAATAACTGGTGGGTGTCTGGTAGAGGGAAGGTGCTGAGGGAACCTGCTTAAAAGGGGGAAATTATAGGTTAGGAAACAAGCTTTTCACAAGAAAACAAGGTTTTCACAGAAAGACCCCAAAGTGAATGGCTTATATTTTCTTTCACGTAACAAGCAAGAGGTGAGCGGTCCAAGTCTGGCAGGCACTTATGCCCTAACGTCTGGCTTCTGTCTCTGGGTCCCAGAGAGCTGCTCCAGTGGTCACAATGTCCAGCCAGTGAGAAGGAAGAAGACAAAGTGGAGGGCAAGCAGTTTCCTTTTCAAAGGCCCAGACCTGGAAGTGGTCACCTTGGGGGCTTACTCACCCAACGACGGAAGAGGGTCTGAGAACAAGTCCTGAGGGGGCTCTACCAGCTAAAGATCAGTGAGAGGAGAAGACGTCAAAGAGAAAGGGCGAGTGGCTAAAGAAGAGCAAGGAGGAAGCGGGAAAAGCCAAAAGTTGCAGACAAGTTAAAAACAAAATAGAGGCTTGAGGAGAAGAAACAATAAATAGCTACATATGCCCACATATGAGGGCTCTCCCCATTTCCCCATCATCCCTCAGAAGAGAAGTCCCCTTATATCTGAGCCCTTTGTGTCTCCCATAGCACAGGGCACTCTTACGAACAGAGAACCATGAGGACAAGACACGTTAACCTGAAATACTGACACTAGCTCAGTTTTGGATTCTCAAGGAAGTCGTTCAAAGGAGACAGCAAAAAGATGTAGGTCGTGAAAATGAATACTGACTTAGTAGTTTTGAGTTTGTCACTTCAGTTTCAAGAAACTGTATAGTATCATAGAAAATGGGTTTTCCTGGCTGCGTTCCGAACAAGATGGCAGGCAGTAGGGACGTGAGCATGGGCAGGGAGGGGACTAGACGGAGGAGCCGTAGCGACAAGTGCTCAGCTCCCTGTTTCTGCATCTGAGCCCCAGATAGCTTGAATACAGAAGGTGAGAGAGAACATACGGTAAATGCCACAAGCCCTCACGAGCCAGGCTCTAAAACAACTCTTTTTCAGCACAGGAGCATGGCCCTATTTTGTGTGGGGTATTGTGACAGCTGTTAAGTCATGTGACAGCCTCCCCAAAAGCATTCTTGGAAGGGAGACAGAGGTTTCATTCAGAAAGGTTTCATTCAAATGAAGAAGACAACAAAAATACATCTTTATGAGGAAAAGTAAGTCACATTACTTGTCACATCTCCCCAAATCACCCACTGAACCACCTAACTCCAGCAGAAAGGGTGCAGGACTAGATAGATTGGGAAAGGCAGTCTTTTGACCCTCCCCCAGCCGCATAAGAATGGGCCTTGAGCCTGGAAGGCTTCCCTACTGAGGAGAGAGGCCTCGTCACCTTTGTGATGGGGAATGTCTTTCCTGTTTCAGATTCAGTGGGTACTCCTTTGATCTACACAAGCCTGTGCATCAGATGACACCTGGCCAACCCCATACTATACGTGTCCACCTGTCCACCGCAGGAGATGGGGTCCTTCTGTAGCACAAGAGGGGTGTGGTCAGGCCACTTGCCCTGTGTTGGCCATGGGGGACCGGCGCACAGTGTTGGAGCTGATTTTGCTCTGTCTCTTCTCCATGTGAGCAGGGCATTATTCTATCCAGTGCTTGGCTGTGTTGTGGCTTCCTTGGCAACTGTAACACCCGGATGCGGTGGGCAGAACCGTTAACACCTCTGCTTTTGGCGATAGGTAATAGATGTCACTCGCTCAACAAAGAATCAGGTTCCACTCTTAGCTGTGGCACTAACCAGCTGTGTGGCTCTGTTCTCAGCTTTCTAACTAGCAAAATAATGGTGTTCATGGAGTTCTCTTCCAGCTACTTTCTGGCTCTCTGTGAGAGAGAAAGAATATGATGCCCGAAGCCAAAGTCAGTAAGGAGAGCTTCTGTAGGTGCAGGAGCCAGAGGGAACACTAACAGTATATGGTCCTCACAGTTTACATGTTGGAACTGTTCACTGAAGAAAAGAGATTTTCCTTTAGATCAGAGATTCTCAACCTTGGCCAGAGGATTGCTGTGGACGGCTGTCCTATGTATGGTAGGATATTTAGCTGCATGGCCGGTCTCTACCCACTAGATGGTAGTAGCATCTCAGCTTGTGACCACCACAAATGGTTCCAGACACTGCCAAATGTCTCCAGAAGGGCAAAAGCGCCCTCCGTGGTTGGAGAACCACTTATCTAGATGTATTCCTCTAGTCAAGGTTAAGTAATAAGGGGCATCTAGGTGGCTCAGTCAGTTAAGTGTCCGAGTTCGGCTCAGGTCATGATCTCAAGGTCTGTGAGTTCAAGCACCTGATCAGGCTCTCCTGACAGCTCAGAGCCTGGAGCCTGCTTCAGATTCTGCATCTCCCTCTCTCTCTGCCCCTTCCCGACTCACCCTCTGTTTCTCTCTCTCAAAAATAAATAAAACATTAAAAAAAAGATTAAGTAATACACATAAACCTTATCAATCAATATCACTATTTTATAGGTAGGAAAACTAACACATTTCATGAAAAATAAAATCCATCATATGATACATAACATAGTCAAAGATCTGAAACAGAATTAGTGTCAATCATGTCCACATCTTTAATCAATAAACACTATTCCTCTTAAGAGGAGGTGAAAAACTTACCCATATTAAAAACACTGAACATAAGCATCATTAAGAAAACACCATTAAGTGATGAATACTTCTACATCTCTTTAATCTCTTTGTATTCATTAGCTACTGCTTGCCAGAGTAAAAATAAATATGGTTTTTGTTATGGCTTCATACTTCTTTAGAATGGTAGCTGGAAGGTTTCCAATTTGGTAAGCCCGATAACTAATGCCATTTGGTATTAAACAGATTTGTGTGTCAATCATCAAGGTAAAGACATAACAAGAAAATGTCCCCTAAGTGTCGTCTCAGTGTGCTGTTCACATGGAGTCAGACTCCCTTCAACAAATTCCACCAGTGAGTCTAAGGAACTCATGGCTCGATGTCCAAAGATATCAAGAAAACCGCTACTGCAGTGGACGGTTAAAAGACAATAGCAGTAGAACATTTTACTTAAACTTTTGGTAATAAAATAATACAGAAGTAGATGGGGTGCCTGGGAGGTTCAGTCAGTTACGTATCTTGATTTCGGCTCAGGTCATGATCTCATGGTTCGTGAGTTCAAGCCCTGGGTCAGGCTCTGTGATGACAGCTCAGAGCCTGCGTGGGACTCTCTGTCTCCACTCCTCCCCCGTTTGCTCTCTCTCAAAAGTACATAAATAAAATAATAATTCAGACGTGGAACCTTTGTGAGATTTTTTCCCTCTCATTCTGGGAACAGGATCATTAATATTTATATTTGTGTGATACCGTAAGGTTTGAAGAATGAAATAAGCAAGAGAGCACTATAACACACTTGGAATGTGTATTATGCTCTATTAGACTAGACTAATGTCAGTACTAGATTGTACAAAGGTCCTTATGCTCCAGGCGAGTCCACTCAATGTCCGGTATTCAACAGGACTTCACGCAAGCCAGCTCATGAACAGGCAGTCCTCTATAAACGGCTCTGACTTATGACATAGGTCTTAGGATAAACATGTTTATACTTTGACTGGACAGTCACGTGGACACTATACGCATGGTGGCTGTGTAGCACTACTCGGTGAAATGTCTCGCCTTCCTTCATGATTTCTTCAGTCTTCTTTTCAGTGGACATAACGTTTTCTACAAAGTCTGAATCTTCCAAGTACAGCTCGTCTCCTGGAAAAGAACATTTTGATTCCACAAAGTGTTATTTTATAAAACATTCCAACATATTAGCGACATGCACATTGGTATGTGTCTATGTCATGTGTATAGAACTAAGACAGGTGTTTAGTAACTAATTTCATGAGCCTACCTCGATTTCTTTCTTGTGTTTTTAATACCCACACCCCCCACCGCCCCATTTCCCAGCCAAGAATTTTCTTTGGGCACATAGATAGTTGACTGGTATTTTTCATCACAAATTATAACTTTTAGGCTAATCTATGACTCTCTTTATCCTAGTTGGTATTAATATTGGCCTTGATATCCATACATTTTTGAGTTTCAGTGTGGGCTGTTCTAATAAATTTAAGGTGAAATTACATAAATTATCATTTATACATCAAAACTGCTGAACTGTCCCACTGTAGTCCCGCTAACCGTCCCACTAACTGTCCCACTAACAAGTAGTATCGCCATTGTGAGAACTGAGACAAGCAGCCACGAGCAGGTCACAAAGCCCCCCTCTAAACTCACATTAAACCATGGTGCCTGGGTGGCTCCGTCGGTTAAACATCCGACTTCAGCTCAGGTCATGATCTTACCATTCATGGGTTCATGCCCTGGGTTGGGCTCTATCTTGACGGCGCAGAGCCTGGAGACTGCTTCGCATTCTGTGTCTCCCTTGCTCTCTGCCCCTCCCCCACTCAAGCTCTGTCTCTGCCTCTCTCAAAAATAAATATTTTTTAAAAATTAAAAAAGTAAAAAAACTGCCATAAAACCCCCATCTAGCACTTACCCAACAACAGTCGACGGCCAGCAAACTCCCTAATTCATATACGCTGACAATTTCTCATAATTCAAGTTCTTAACAGAGTGTATTTGAAAACAAAAGCTCTCAACTTCTTAACTTGGTTCTCAAAACTCAAAATTAAAGTGTAAAAAAGTGAGATAATGTATGAGAAAGAGCTTTTTCAACAGCTAGGAAACATATTTAAAGAAACGTACGTGCGTATACAAAGTGACTTGCTCAGAACTTCTGGTTATAATAAACACCATGGATATTTTATAGAGTAGGACCTTAATAAACTGCTGTACTGTGTATAACAGATGGTAATCATTCTTTGTGTTCCACAATACTGCAATACCACCAGACAGCCCAGGGCATTAAATGTGAATGCTAAGGTGCTGGGCCTGGGTGGCTGTGGTTAAGCACCCAACTCTGGATTTCAGCTCAGGTTATGATCTCACAGTTCATGGGTTTGAGCCCCTCATTGGGCTCTGCGCTGATAGTGTGGAGCCTACTTGGAATTCCGTCTCCTCTCTCTGCTCCTCCCCAACTTGTATGCTCTCTCTCTCTCTCTCTCTCTGAAAAATACATAAACTCAAAAAAAAAAAAAAAAAAAAAGAAGAAGGAGCACTGTGCTTCACTGACTTACCCGGTAAAAGCTGGACCGCTGCATCAGCAGTTAATAATGTGATAGGCAGCCATCTTTCCATCCCTTCCGATGCACCATCCAAACAGAATTTGTGCAATTCAGAGAGAGAGGCAAAGTTTCCAAGCCTTCTTATTTCGTAGAACTGCGGGGGTGCCAACCAAATTTCTTTCGATATGAAACTCTCGGTTGCCTCTGATGGAGACGACCACTGTGGAAGATAATGGCCAGATTTTAAGGTTTATCCCAGAGGCAATGGAAGATCTGAAATCAGAGATCGGTACCCAGATCTAAATGAAGTTGTACAGTTAATTTATTAATGTGCCCTGCTAGAATCCTCTAAGACAACATGGAAAGATTTGGTTCATGAAATGTGGGTTGACCCCCCCCCCCAAGAGGTTGGTTAATGGGACACTCAGCATAAGGAACAATAAATCAACTAGGATAGATCACCAAGGGTTGACCTGGTGGGGTTGTTCAGCATAGAAGGCAGAAGATGCAAGAAGGCAAGCTGGTTCTGCTCACTCCCGGGGGAAAAAGAAGCCTGTCCAGTGTTAACTCATGATAGCAAATTGAGAATTCAGTGCCCATTCATTCCGCCCACAAACGGGTGCCCTGGGTAGGCCCTGGGGAGGTGGTGAACAAGATAAAGCACTCTCAGGCCCTATAGGGCCTTCAGCAATCAGAAAGTAGCATGACAAGTTCACATGCTATGATGGGGGTAAAGAGGAGCAATAGGAGCTTTCCGGAAGGTCAAGAGGTATGACTCAGCCTACTGTTCCAGGAATGTAATAACAGCAGAGTATCAGGGCGCCTGGGTTGCCCAGCCAGTTGAGCATCTGACTCTTGATTTCTACTCAGATCATGATCTCATAGTCAAGGGGATTGAGCCCCATGTTGGGTTCTGCGCTGAGAGGGCAGAGCCTGCTTGGGATTCTCTCTCTCCCTCTCAAAATAAATAAATAAACTTAGAAACTAATAATAATAGCAGAGTACCAACCAGACAGCATTTGCCCATTTAACTTAAGTGACCTGACTGCTGTGACCTTTCCTCCTTCTCAAGCCTTACTTCCATGCACATCTAGATAAAAGGAGTTGATTCAGTGAATATGAAATAACGCCAAAGGGGTCTTTCTTTAACTGATTGACTAAATATCCATTTACACTGATGGAAACTGATTCCCACCCCAATCTGGGAAGTTGAAATCAATTTCTGCCATGGATAATGATAGACCAAAAGTGTACAAGCTTGTATGTGCCTAAACTTCCTCTGAGGAACCTCTATGTGGCTAATCTATGGGACCAAACAATTTATGTTTATAAGAAGTACCTCAGGTGATTCTCAAATTGCCAAGGCTACATTTTGAAAAACAATGCTCGGGCCTCAATGGACCACCCAATCTGTAAGTTATTTACATAGAACTCTGGTTTGTAAATTCCAGGTGAGTTCCGTGATAACAATCAAATGAAGGGATAAACAATGTGTACAACCCACTTAATTCAACCTGTTCAGGTTAGTCCAGACCATGGTTGAGAGAACTTATCATTTATTGGTTATTTGTTACTTGTAATGCACTGCTCAAAAAATCTTTAGTCTAGATAACTATTTGTTGTGGGTGACTGTCTTTTGTCCTAAAGGATGGTTAGAAGAATCCTTGAGCTTTACCCAGTAGAAGCTGCTAGAACTACCCATATTAGGACAATCAAAAATGTCTGGAGACATTGCCAAATGTATCCAGGGGTGGGTGGGTGAATCATCCCCTTTGAGAATCACTAGCTTAGATTAGGTTAAGAACTACTTACTGAAATCTCTTCCAGGGCTGCCTGGGTGGTTCAGTCAATTGAGCATCTGACTCTTAATTTTGGTTCAGGTCACCATCGCAGGGTCATACGATTGAGCTCTGCATCAGGCTCCGCACTGAGCATAGAGCCAGCTTAAGAGCCTCTCTTTCCCTCTGCCCTTCTCCCCAACTCACGTGCTTGCTCTCTTTCTCTCTCTCTCTCCCCCTCCCTCCCTCCAAAATTAAAAAAAAAAAAATCTCCTCTTCCAGTCATGAATGCTAGAATTACCTTTCTCCAACATGATGTAAACAATATAGAAGTGGACAAAATCTATTAATCCACCATTTTTGGACATTGAAAAATGCAGAATTGTAATTTGTGAGGAAAGAAAAACAAATGAGGTGAACTCTACCATTGCCAAGGTTTTCTGCCTAAAGGGAATCATCAGACCACAGCACAGGGAAGGAGAACCTAATCTATACCATTCTCGCTGACTCACTGAGGAGACAGAGAACAGAGTTTGGGAAGGCCCATACAGGTTAGAGCATGGAAGACACGGTACCTGAGAGGAGGGATCTGTGTAGAGTAGAGCTCTCCAAATCTGTATAGGACGCCCTTAGTCTTGGAGAAGCACTAATCTTTGCAAGCATAAGATGAAACCACATGACATTGGAAAACATGGGGGCTTTACACTAATAATTTCCAGAACTCACCAAGGGTCAGGAAACATTTCCTCCAACCACAGTGGAGAGACCTGGTTGAATATAAGGGTCACATTAGAAGTGCAGTTAAATCAGCCCTAGAATAAAGGCTATCATAGAACTACTATAAAAACACTTTTAAAAATAAGAGGTGCCTGGGTGGCTCAGTTGGTTAAGTGTCCAACTCTTGATTTTGGCTCAGGTCATGATATCATGGTTCATGAATTCGAGCCCCATGTTGGGCTCTGCCCACTGACAGCACAGAGCCTGCCTGGGATTCACTCTCTCTCCAGCTGTCTCTCTGAAAACAAATACATAAACTCAAAAAAAAAAAAAAAAATCTCAAGAAGATCAAGTTAATTTGCAATAACTTAATTTCCTGTCAGGAAAAGTTCAACAATCTTTAAAGGAACATACAAAATTCAGTACTCAACTAAAAATCACAATGTCCAACATCCAATAAAAGAATTGTAAGACCCATGACAGGAAAGCAGGAAAATGTGACCCCAAACCAGAAGACAACTTGGTGCATCTATTCAAGATGACGCACAGAGATAAAATACTTGAAACAAAATGAACAAATTATCAGTTACATTCTCAAGTAGTCCAACATAAATGTAATTGGAGTCTCAGAAAAGAGGGGGAAGTGAAAAATATCTGAAGAAATAACAAAAAGAAAACCATGCACATCATAATCAAATTGATGAACACCAATGACTAAGAGGAAATATTTACAGTAGCCACAAACACAAAACAAAACACATTAGGCACAGAGGACCAAAGAGTTAAAAGTGGATTTCTCATCATAAATTATTCAAACCACAAAATACCACAAAAAGCAATATCTTTAAGAACTGAGACAAAAAAACACACAATCTGTTAACTTGGAATTCTATACCCAGCCAAGATATCTTTCAAACAAATGGAGGCAAAATAAAGTATTTTTCAGATAAACAAAATCTACAAAATTCATTGTCATAAGACCTGAAATACAACACATATTAGGGGACGTTCTTTGGGCCAAGAGAAACCAGTTGTAGATTTGAATCTGCACAAAGGAATGGAGAGTAGTAAAAATGGTAAATATGCAGAGAAACATAAAAGACATTTTTTACTCATTGTCGCAGTCTTTCAAAGATTGACTGTTTAGGACAAATTATCAACGCATTATAAAGTTCATAATAACAATAAAAGTCAAATGTATGACAACATAGCTATTGGACATGAGGGGAGAAATGCAGGCATATTGTTGTAAGGTTCTAACATGATACATGATGAAAGCTATGTATTGTAAACTCTAGAGTAACCACAAAGAAGTATAATTAATAAGTCAATAATGGAGATAACACGGTCCTTAAAATATTCAAATAATACAAAAGGAGTCAGGAAAAGAAAAACAGTGCAAAGAATAGATAGGACAGATAACAAACTAAAGATGGTAGATTCAAGTTAAATGTAAATATTTAAATATATAAACATATGTAAATATAAATGATCTAAATGCTTCAGCTAAAAGGCAAATATTGTCCTATTGATTAAAAAAAGCAAGACTATGGTGCGCCTGGATGGCTCAGTCAGTTGAGCTTCCAACTTCGGCTCAGGTCATGATCTCACAGTTCGTGGGTTCAAGCCCCACGTCGGACTCTGTGCTGACAGCTAGCTCAGAGCCTGGACCTGCTTCGGATTCTGTATCTCCCTATCTCTCTGACCCTCCCCTGCTCATGCTGTGTGTCTCTCTCTCAGAAATAAATAAAACATTAAAAAAAAAAAAAGCAAGACTCTGTGCTGCCTACAAGAAACATATTTTATTTTTTACTAAAACATTTTTTTAAGTTTATTTTTGAGAGAGAGAGACAGAATGCCAGCAGTGGAGGAGCAGAGAAACATACACATACACACAGAATCTGAAGCAGGCTCTGGGCTCTGAGCCATCAGCACAGAGCCCAAACCAGGGCCTGAATTCACGAACCACGAGATCATGATCTGACCCGAAGTCAGATGCCTAACAGACTGAGCCACTCTGGTGCCCCAAAGGATATTTCACAATAATCAAAGGGTCAATCCATCAAGCTTTAACAGTCCTATACATCTATGCAGCACCTTACAAGGAAGCTTCAAAATACATGAAGCAAAACCTGATAGAACTAAAAGAGAAAAAGACAAAGCCACAATTACTCATTAAAAATGTCAGCATTCCTGGAATGCACCTGGTTTCAGTCCATTGGGCATGTGACTCTTGGTCTCTGGGTTGTGAGTCTAAGCGTCCTGTTGGGTGTAGAGATTACTTAAGAAAAACAAACCCAACAACAAAGCTGAAGAAAACTTTCAGCATTCCTGTCAGTATCTGATGGAACAAGAAAACACTATGGAACTGCTGAAAGACACTACCAACAAATTTAACCTAATTGCCGTTTTTCCAAACTCAATATCAAGTACAGCCGAGTACATTGTTCTTTTTAGGTGCAAAAGGAACATTCACCAAGATAGACCATATTTGTGGTCATAGAAGAAGTCTCAATACATTGAAGAGTGGAATCATATAAAGTATGTCTCTGAGGACAGAATTAAATTGCAGGAAATGGAGTGGGCATGAAATGAGGAAAGTGCTCAGGAAGGAGCCCCGGGCCTGCAACTCTTGGAATCTCCTCGGGGGCGCTCCTAGGGGAACCACCAGAGAGGCTGAGTCAAGGCCTTGGGACTATGAAGCTGGGGAAAGCAGAGGAGCACCTCACCAAGGTCCTGGGTTTGGCCTGCAGGGTTCAGAGTGCGGCTACCCCGGCGCCTGGCCAACTCAGTCTCTTGGCTGTATGGCTGGAGGAAGCTACCGACAGTCCCGACTTAGAATTTTGCAACTCTAGGATGCTGCGAAAGCCGTATACATTCAAGCAGCAAAGTTACTTTTGAATTTTGATGTCCTCCCCCGGCTAGGCACTCATCACCGGTAGTACTCGGCAGTGGCAATGAGCAAGCTCCCAAGTGTGATCTTGAAGGCAAACTGCTGATACCCTTGCACTTACTCTATAACATACAACCTGTTGCCCACTTTCACATGAGCTATTCAACGCTTTGTTACAAAATAGGCTTTGTTAGATGATTCTGCCCAACTGTGGGCTTATGTAAGTGTTCTGAGCAGGTTTTAGGTAGGTCAGGCTAAGAGGTTATGTAGGTTAGGTCCACGGTGTAGCCGCATCACAGATGGAGAAAGACCTGTAATCAGCCTCTGTGCTGGGCTTATATTATCACAGGGAGTTTCCAGATGGGTCTGGGCTGCTGGCGGGGGCCCTGACTCTCACGTTCCTGTGCGTCCCCACGCCGGCCCCGCAAGCCCTACCTGGCAGCTCACCACCTCGGTCAAGTCCGGGTAGACCGGCGGCGGCTCCCGCAGGCAGCACAGGAAGAAGGCGGTGTTGAAGCGGCGGCCGCCCGGGCGCGAGAACGGCGTGAGCCAGCCGCCCCAGTCGTGCAGCGCCCAGATGTCGGGCGTGCAGTCGAGGTGCGCGCACAGGCTCAGGAAGTGGCGCGGGTCGCGGCGGACGCGGTCGCGCCAGGCGTCCAGGCCCGGCGGCGGCGCGAGGGCGCGTCCGGGCTCGGCCGCGCCGGGCAGGGCGTCCCGGGGCCGCAGCAGCAGCACGCCCGCCTCCTCGAAGGCCTCGCGGATGGCACAGATGCGGAAGGCGACGTCATCCGGCAGCGCCGCTTCGTCCCCGTCGGCGGCGTCGGGCAGCCCCGGAAAGGAGGCTGGCCGCGACAGCTGCGGGCCCAGGCCGAAACGCGGCGGCCCGTGGTGCGGCGCGAAGAGGCGCCGCCAGTCGGCCGAGTGGTCTGCCGTGTCCAGCGCGCCCCCCGGGAAGACGTGCGCCCCGGGCAAGAAGCCTTGGCTCCCGGAGCGCTGCAGCAGCAGCAGCCGAAAGCCCTCGGCGGGCGGCGGCGGCGGCGGCGGCGGCGAGGCGGCGGGGCCCGGGCGCGCCCAGCCCGCGGCCAGCACCACGGTGGCTGCCCGTCGCCAGCTGCTGGCGCCCGGTCGCAGGGAGCCGTTCATGGCCGCCGGCGGCCTGACGCTTCCGGGCTCCGCGTTCCGGCGCGGCGGGAGCTCCCGGGCGCCGATCCGACCGCCCCCCGCGGTTTCCCTGGGCTTTTGAACCCACACCGCTGTCTCACAGGACGAGCTCGAGGCGAGGCGCGCGCAGTGGGCGCCGGGTGAATTCCGGCTGTTGGGCCCGTACCCGCGCCGGCCCCTAGGAGGAGCGTGGCGCGGGGGAGAGCCCGCGCCCGCCTGGAGCGGGTTCCCAGCCCGGCCACCGGCCCCGCCTAGGGCTGTTCACAGCCGCCCGACCCGACGCCCTGCCCAGGACTCTGGACCGAAAGCAGGAATGCCTAGGGGCGTACATGACCTGCCACGGTAAAAATGTGGTGCAGTATTTTCATCCGGCCAGGGGACCCCCTAGCCCACCAAACCCCGAGAACTAGGACTTGTCCTTGAACCACGAGTCGACACGGAAGTATGTTATCTCTGACAGGGAAGGAGATCTGAAGGGCAGATCTCTGAGCTTTGCAGGCTCACATGACTGCACCCATGAGAAACTGATGGATGAACCAGATGCGCCCGGCCCCGCCTGGACGTGAAAGGCCCTCTTTCCACTCCTGCCCCCCTCGCCCCAGGGGAATCTGTCTTGTGTTCTGGACACTTCTTATTGTCAGGGCACCTGGGACCACCTTAAGTGTCTTAGATCATTCCATGACTTCCACTTTCATGAGAGATGCTTAATCCAGACTTAGGGATAGGAATTTCTCTCCATTTTCTTAGTGGCTACAATACCCCCACCTCCAAGAGAAACATTACTGTTTCTTAGAAAGAGCCTGTTTAGGAGCGCCTGGGTGGCTCAGTCGGTTAAGTCCCCGACTTGGCTCAGGTCAGGATCTCCAGGTTCCTGAGTTTGAGCCCGGTGTTGGGCTCTGAGCTGACAGCTTGGAGCCTGAAGCCTGTTTTAGATTCTGTGTCCCCCTCTCTTTCTGCCCTCCCTTGCTCTTTTTATGTCTCTTAAAAGATAAATACATGTTAAAAATTAAAAAAAAAAAGAGCCTGTTTAAATCTGAATCTTCTCTTTTACAATTCCTCCTCACTTGCCAACAGCTTCTCCTATGATTGCTATTAAACCTGATGACACATTTGTCATGTTTTTGGATGAAATATAGACTGTTCTTTTGGTGGGCCTCATTTAAGAACTATCATTTTAATGTGGATTATTTCATGAGGGAGAATCCATAGATGGCACTGCCAGTTTTTAGGATTTCTTTTATTTTTAAAAAATTTTTTTAATGTTTTATTTATTTTTGAGAAAGAGATAGAGACAGCATGAGCAGGGGAGGGTCAGAGAGAGAAGGAGACACAGAATCCAAAGACAGGCTCCCGGCTCTGAGCTAGCTGTCAGCACAGAGCCCGATGCGGGGGTGGAGCCCACCAACCGAGATATCATGACCTGAGCTGAAGTCAGATGCTTAACCAACTGAGCCACCTAGGCACCAGGATTTCTTTTAATTAAATTTTTCTTTTATTGGAAGTACACTCCACACCCAACATGGGGCTTGAACTCACGACTCCAAAATCAAGAGTGGTGTGCTCTCCTGACAGCCAGTCAGACACTCCTAGGTTGGTTTTTGTTAGCATCATTTTCTAAAGCTACAAATCCCTGTGTACTGCCTGCATCCGAGAAACAAAAAATGGGACTGCACACAGAGAAAAGCACAGGTGGAGGCCAAGGAAGGACACATGTCCTACTGGGACAGTCAATCAACTTTCATCTACCTTGAGTCTGTAGAATCCACAATTGGGGAACCCTTTCCCGAACTGCTTCCCAAATGCATGTGGCTCTCTGCTCTGAGACAATCATTTCAGAATCTGTCGTAGAGTCTGGAGTGGTACCCTGGAGCCTGCATTTTAACAATCCCTGACTCCCCAGGTGATTCCAGAGCTGTGAGCCATAGAAGCTCTGAAAGATGGTGACACGGTCAAGTTCATATCTTCAAAGGTCCCCCTAACACCAGCATGGTGACTCAGTTGGATGGAGCTGGACTGGAAACCCATGGAGTATGCTAGGCAAGAAATTATGAAGGCGTAAACTAGGAGAGGGGCTGTCCAGAGAGGGTGAGGAGGGAGAAGGGAATGATTTACAGAGTATTAAGGAGGTAGACTTGATGTAATATAGTAATGGGTTGAATGTGCAGAGCAGGAGACAGGAGGGAGTTATGGTTTACCTTGGGAGATTGAAGTAATAGTTATTCAACCCTAGAAGTAATAATTAATAGTGATATTATTAAGCACTTACTGTATGTGAGGCACTGGGAATTTTGTAAGTATTCGCTGCATAATCCTCACGAAACCATGTACATGGTGGAAATAGCTATTGCCATTTCACAGAAGAGAAACTATTCACAGAGGGGTTAAGTATCTTAAGAAAGGACATGTTATTCTCTTCGCGGTAAAATAACACCATTGTTTTGTAGATAAAAATGTTACTGGGGGGGCGCCTGGGTGGCTCAATCGGTTAAGCAGCTGACTTTTGATTTTGGCTCAGGTCATGGTCTCACGGTTTGTAGGATTGAGCCCCACATCGGGCTCTGCACTGACAGTGCAGGGCCTGCTTGGGATTCTCTCTCCCCCTCTGCCCCTTCTCAGCTCGCTCATGCTTGCTCGAGCTCTCTCTCTCTCTCAAATAAGTAAACTTTTAGAAAATGTTTATTTTGAGATCAGCTAGTTTCCCCATAGGCTGGTCACTCCTAAGTGAGATGGCCAAGTTCTAGAGTACATAGCAAAGCGGCATACTTGGGTTGGGTCTTAACCAATCCAACGGTCTCCAGAACTGCACGCTGCCATGTTGGTCTTATTCAGGAGGCTCTGTGACGATGCAGTACCAGTGTATGTGTGTATCCACAGATCACATCCTATAACCTATTATCTGAGCTGTAGCCGAGGACAAGAGCAGAGGCAAATAGACCCTGGAGTAGCAAAAGGGATACAACTATCATGATCCAAATCTAATGTGCTCTGCTCAGAGGAAAAATTACAGATCTAGTAATCTATTGCTATGAATAAATTCCTCTGAAACTTGGTGGCTTAAAACGATAAACATTACCTCACAGTTTCTGCAGATCAGAGTTTGAGAACATTTTAGCTGGGGGCTTCTGACTCAGTATCTCCCATGGGATTGTGGTCAGCATATCAGCCGGGGTTTGACTGGGCCTGAGTGATCCGTTTCCACAATGGCCCACTCAGGTGGCTGTTGGCAGGAAGCCTCAGTTCCTCACCACACCGGCCTCTCCATTGAGCCACGTGAATATCTTTGACACTGGGCAGTTAACTTTCCCCAGAGAGAGTGACCCAAGAGAGAAGGAGGAAGCCATTACGCCTTTTATGATTTAGCCTCAGAGGTCACTCTCCATTTCTAACGTATCCTATTTTTACACTGGTCTGTTCTATTCAGTGTGGGAGGGGACGACACGAAAATACCAGGAGGTGGAGATCGTTGTGGGTCATCCTGGAGGCTGTAGTAACAGTGGACAAAAAAATGAAACCATCTAAGCATTAGAAGAAAACAGGTAAATTCCTCTATAATCTTTGACTCAAAATCTAGAAGCAGCAAGGGAAAAGATGGTTAACTTGACATACTCTTTTCTCCATATTTATAACTTTATTATGACAAAAAAACACCCTAAGAAAGTCTAAGTCGGGGCATCTGGGTAGCTCAGTCGGTTAAGCGTCTGACTTCAGCTCAGGTCGTGATCTCACAGTTAGTGAGTTCAAGCCCCACGTCAGTCTCTGTGCTGACAGCTCGGTGCCTGGAGCCTGCTTCAGATTCTCTGTCTCCCTCTCTCTCCCTGCACCTCCTCTGCTCTCTCTCTCTCTCTATCTCAAAAAAAAATTTTTTTTTAATTTTTAATTAAAATAAAATGTCATTAAAAAAGAAAGTCTAAAACATAAACTGGAAAAATTGTCTGTAATGCCTGTCACAAAGGATTAAGAGTTAGGGGAAAAATGAAGAAGAAAACACCTCCAACTGTGTAGAATAATGGGCGAGAAAAACCAGTTTGGAGTAATTTAAGGTCACACATCCAGCAAGTTTGGAAACCGTCCAAACCTATTGATGTGTTCTCAGAGTGCCCTGCCCAGCCCTGTGCTGCCAGGGGCATAAAGCCAGCTGAGCCGGGCCTAACAGTGAGCGGGCACGGCCATTCTCTAGTAGCACCAGCAGTTACAATGCGCTACTTGGTCATGAGAAAGTGAGTCACTTGGTTTTTGATACAGTTACTTACTTCGCAGTTCAGGACAGTTGACTCTTCATTTTGACGTTCTACCTGTCCTCCCCAACTTTACTGACAATGAAACAATTCATTTGATCTCTTAGGACATGTAAAACGTTGGAAATAAAAAAACTTTCCAAACATGTCCTACTTCTTACCTATATCTCTATGAAGTCTTTTAGTTCAATATTGAGTTCAGCAAGCCCCAATTTGTTTCTGTTATCTACTATTAGGTTTTTCAGTTAAAAAGGGAAGAAAAGAAGAGATCTTTGGGGCTAGCCGCGGAGAGAGAACTTCAACTTGGACGTTCAATGGTAGTAGGAAAGCAGGTTCAGCCTTTCTAGAAGTCAAGGCATGTCACCAGGGTTAAACAAAATCCACCTGCGATTGACCAGTAGCATCCTGTGCGCCATAAATCACCAGATAAAAATTATTCCTCAAACTGTTGTTGTTGTTTTTTTTTTTTTTTTGGAGAAGGATTTTAAAAAGTTTCACAGCATTGTTTTCTCAAAAGAGAATGGATTCCATTTATGTGCCATTCTGGAAAAGGCAAAACTAAAGGGACAGTGGTTGCCACAGCCTGGGGCTAAAGGAAAGGATTGACTAGTAAGGTATATGGGGGCCATGAAAACATTGTCCTGCTTGTGGTGGTGGTTACACTGTGGTAGGGTCCCCTCCCTAAGGGGGGGGGAGAGAACCATCTCAAGGCAACCTTGTTATTCGTGTATGTGAAAACATCCCTCAAGACCTTGTAACATGTTAATCAGACTGCATGCTTGTGTGTTACCATATATGGGAGACAAAGAAGTAAAAACATATATAAAAAACCATACCATGTGGTGTTCGGGGCTCGGTTCTTTGGGTGTGAGCCCAACTGAGCTATGCTGGCTGGAATAAAGTTGCTTCCTGGAAAGAAAAGCCTCGGTGTCACGACTCTCTGTGCGAGAATCCTGTTCATTATGATTACATACCTTTGTCAAAACTTAAAACTGTTAGGGGCACCTGGGTGGCTCAGTTGGTTAAGCGTCTGACTTCGGCTCACGGTTCATGGGTTCAAGCCCGGCACCAGGCTCTGTGCTGACAGCCAGCTCAGAGCCTGGAGCCTACTTCAGATTCTGTGTCTCCCTCTCTCTCTGACCCTCCCCTGCTCACGCTGTCTCTCTCTCTCAGAAATTTAAAAAGAAAAACAAAATGAAAACTGCTCATCTGAGAAGGGTGAATGCTATATTTAACTTCTACCTCAAAAAAGTTGACTTTAAAAATTCATAGATTCCAACTTCCAGATAAACCATCTGTACTTGATCTTTTTATTACATATCTTTTTTCATTTTGACAAGTATATCTAATTTTGACCTTCAAATGGATTTTTAGATTTTACCTAAGTTAAAGAAAGTTAAATGTCTCCGTATCTCAGTATACTCGCTTTTCCCCAGTTGTCCAATTTCAGGACTTCTAAAGCAGTTTGATAAATAATAAGAGCAGTGGCAGCCAACATTTATTGGGCCCTGTGCCTGGAAAGTCTGATCTCGATATCCTTATGAAGTCTATGCCCTATTATTACTGCCATTGCAAAGATAAGTAAATCGAGGTCAGAGAGATTGAAGAACTTCAATGAGATCTGATCTGGTCTCAGGTGTGCCTTTTTCCATTGTTGGTACTCTTAACCTCAATGCTATAGTGTTTTGATACTACATTTCAAAACATGCATCTCATTCCCTGGGATAGGATTCTAAAAGTGTTTTGCTTTGTTTTTAGGGGGGAAGGTTCCAAAATTGTTTCTCATTATACTATGAAACCCTGTTAAGATTTATATTTTAATAACATAACATGTTCTAGATGATAAGAGCATTCAAAATTTTATTGTAAAAACAATGTAACAATATTAAATTATTAAAAGAACACCATTCATAATCCTACCACCCTCACAAATATTTTCATTTTTATTTCCTTGCAGATGTTCTCTGTATGCCTCACACATATGCCTAACACGTTCATACAGGCAAAGATGCTCATTCTGTTTTCTGGCAACAGCACATTAAAAGGACTTTTCAAAATCATTCTGACCCATGGGAGCTTTCATTTGGCTTGTTTACCTTTGTCACAAGAGCCTAAGGTTTTAAACCTAAACACCAACCAATGAGGATGGCCAAGATCTCTGAGGAGTCCAGTGAAAATACCCAGAATCCTCTATGGAGTGAAATGAAAATAAATACATGAAGGGGAGAGATCCATCTTGTCCTCACACACAGAGGGTAGTGGCATGTGGCCAGTTCGTGCACCTTTGGTCAGTTTTTATTTTTAATTTTTTAAAACGTTTTATGTATTTCTGAGAGAGACAGCATGAGCAGGGGAAGATCAGAGAGAGAGGGAGATACAGAACCCAAAACAGGCCCCAGGCTCTGAGCTAGCTGTTAGCACAGAGCCCAACACAGGGCTCGAACCCACGAACTATGAGATCATGACCTGAGCTGAAGCCGGACGCTTAACCGACTGACCACCCAGCCGTCCCACCTTTGGTCAGTTCTTAAGAACCAAAGAAATAGTATTTGAGTGACTTTGACCTGTGTTGGCCACAGCCAAAGATCGTTCATGTGGACACCTGCTATCCTTCCTGGATTCCATCCTGCATTACAGGATGAGTGTAATCATATTGTACTGAAACACTTGGAGACTGATAATCCTGATGTACTTTTTTTTTTTAATGTTTTATTTATTTCTAGGAGAGAGAGAGAGACAGTGTGAGCAGGGGAGGGTCAGAGAGAGAGGGAGTCACAGACTCTGAAACAGGCTCCAGGCTCTGAGCTGGCAGTCAGCCCAGAGCCCGANCTGATTGACTTCTAAGGTTTGATTTGAGTTTTTAATCAGGAAAACAGGATTGCTATAAAATTAATCATTTTTTAAAAATAACCAGTGGTTATTTTAATTTTTTTTAATGTTTTATTTATTTCTAGGAGAGAGAGAGAGACAGTGTGAGCAAGGGAGGGTCAGAGAGAGAGGGAGTCACAGACTCTGAAACAGGCTCCAGGCTCTGAGCTGGCAGTCAGCCCAGAGCCCGACGCGGGGCTCGAACCCACGAACCGCGAGATCATGACCCAAGCGAAAGTCGGACGCTCAACCGACTAAGCCACCCAGGCGCCCCAATCCTGATGTACTTCTGAACACCTCTTTATATGTAATGAAATCTGTGAAGGGTAAGAATGTTGATCAGGACATTCACTTCAAATGCGCATAAAGAAGATTAAGAATATATATATTTTAAAAATCACAAGAGTTGATAGCGGAATCATTTGAGGGCGCCTTTAAAGACTAAGTTATAAATGCTTCGTGCTGCCTTTAATTTTTTACTTAGTTAACAATTTTAGGTTGTCGTTCAAACAGTTGACATGAAGCCTTTAATTCCACGTGGATCTGATGCCACACACAAGGGAAGCCATGCTGTGCTCATGTTTCACCACATCAGGTGGCCAGGCAGTTACAGTTCTGAGGGCATCAGGTTACTTACAGAACAGGATTTTCCCAGCCTCCCTGATAACCGACAGGGTTTCACATCTGTAATGTCCCAGAATCAGTTCAGGTGGCCCGACTGCTGGGTAAAACAAACTGTTTAATAAGTAACTAGACTTTCTTGGACTCAGGCTTACAGTCGGAATTTAAATTCCGAATCTAATTTAAATCTTATAAATAAGTAGCATTTACACGAATTTGCTTTTAAGTCCATCCACTAATCCTGAGATGGACGAATACCACAGTAAGCTCAGTTCATTCTGATTTTTAAAACGTCTACAAAATTTACCAACACACTAATTTTAGAAAATAACCACCAAACTGTAACATTTCATTTGGACGTGTACCCAAACCAACAATAAGTCCAAATCCCCAAACAAAATAATGCTTTCTTGTTGAACTGCATTCTGCTAAATGTTTTAAACTCTGGGAGGGACCTTTGCGTCAATCAGTCAGGACTCCCCCAATTGCAGCATTGAGGGAACTGAGGCACAGGGAGGTCAATGACTTAATCTGAGGTACTTGGAGAGAGTCTGGCCTTGAGGGAGGAGGCAGTCCCCAAAGGAATGGACAGAGGACAGTCCTTCAGTTCTTTACTTCAGGCTGACATACAGGCTCACGCTTTGGGGCTTGCACCCTTAATAAGCATTCATTACAGAAGAGAGAGGTGCAGCTGAAAAGCAACCACGCAGCTAAAAATGCATCAATGTGCAGGTTGCAAAGGAAAATGCAGCATTACCAGGAATCTCACATCAACCAAAACTCTCTTTAACCAGAACTACTTGTCATTTCACATCACACATGTCTTATATTAGCTTACTGTAAACCTTAGGTAAATCATGCAGGTTATACTCTTAATTTTACTCACTGAAAAAGTTTCCCTTGCAGCATTTAAAAGCATAAGTTCTTAGAATACTTAAAACAGAATTTGCCAGGCATTTTTTTCATTCCTACAAACATTCTTGTGGTTGTTTTTTTTTTTAAATATAATAGTTTAGAGTTTCTGTAAGTGACTCGACGTCCCAGTTTGCTTGTCTTCTCAATCAGATAAAACTATGCGGTTTTCCCAAAAGAGAAGTCAGAGATATTTTCTCTTTACAGATATTGATCACAGCATTTAATTCTGGTAATAAAGATCTATCCTTTAACTTGTATCTGTGATTTGGAAAGCTAGATTTTTTTTTTTTGCCATAGCATTGACCTTAACACGTATACTCTGTATTGAACATTTTGAACTTGGAGTTTTTTTCCCTACACTTGTATCATGGTATGAAATCATGCCAAATGTTTTTAGAAAATTAATGACTTTGATATCATGCATCTAAATTGAATCCGGATTCTATCAGAAAGCAATGTGTTGAATTATATATATAGAAACGAGAACAGAGAGATACAGTGAGAGCACTCTATTGCTCAAGCAGAAAGTGATTTTGCTTGCATCACATAGCAAAAGTTCTAGTAGGCAATGTTTTAACTGCAGATAATACCAAATATTCCTAATGCTTAGAACTTTCAAACTCAGAGTTGTTTAGGTTAACAGATTCATCCAGCTTTTTTGTGTGCGCAGATGCAACATTTAATCGCTGATTTCAGCGAACAGAGGACTCTCAGATTTAGGTATACATCTGATTGCACATATAGTTAAATATCCAAGGATCTGCCACGTGAAAGGCCAACAGAGCATGGCAAGAACAAAGAAATTTGTCCCAGTTGCTCTCTCTGGATTATACAACCTCTGATGGATTTTCTAATTCAACAGGTTCTGCTGAACAGTTTGTTGTTGTTATGAACCAAAACAGTCTGATAAGAACAGAAGAGTTACTGTATTAGAAACAGAAGAACATACTTAAGGTGTGGTTTTAAAGGATGCTTTCCAACATTGGGTCACAGAATGACCGAGCCTCCTCTTGTCTGGGAGAGCTGAGAGTTTGGGGAAGGTAACAGAGATTCCATGTTGCGTTGTGTGCATGAGGAAAGGGAGGGGACTCAGGAAAGTTTCTGAGACATCTCTGAAGGTACCCTGAACAAGCAGGTGCAAAATAATTTGAAGTGGCCCCTATTCAGATGAGGCAGAAGGTGTTCCTTTTATTAGTTAAGGTCATAAAACTTTTAATCGGCTTAAGACCTTGTGGCTGTTTTAACACCATCGTCACACACACACACATACACACACACAAACAGATCCCATACTTTGACCATGAAGTCCTGGAATCTGCGTGCTCGGGAAGGGTGCGAGGAAGTTGGGCTGGAAGGGTAGCCCCTAGGACTGCCAAGGATTCACTACTGGTATCTGCTGCTCGCTACTCCTTGGCCCTCCTGCCTGTCCTTGTGAAACCATCGATTCCCTCTGGTCCCTTTTCCCACTTTTAGGGTAAAAAAAAAAAAATCCTTGTAAGTTTTCAGCCAAACCAAAGTCTTGGGTTTTATTCCAAATTATCTTTGGAGACTTAAATGCATGTGTTTTCTCAGCCGTATTCCCCCAGTGATGCTCTCTCTGCACCACAGGCAGAGGTGGTGCTCAGAGGCGCTGCTCAGGTAAACTCCAGTCTGGGTGCCCAGGTTTTCCACCTTCCTTGTCTATTGAGCGAAAGAAGCAGGGCCCACTCAACTTCTGTTATCCACACTGTGGTTCTGGTAGTTTATGCTATAACCTCATGCCTTCAAGAAGGTCTATTTTAATAATAGATGTAGATTTCCCAACTTAAGTATATAAGTAAAGACCACTCACTATGTTTGACTCACTGGCACGTATTGATTTGCGGCCAAATGTGTTTTACAAAAAACCCCAGCTTTGATGGGACAGAATGCTGTTACATGGTTTTTCTTTCAAATGGTTATTGTTTTTAAAAAGCTGCTGAAATTCTGGGTCGAAGCGTTTGCATTCTAACCCAGTCTCCTGGCTAACTGGCTCAAACTGACAAGCGACAGTGAGGTTTACCCTCTCAGAGGTCAGTGTGAGGGTCGGGGAGCCGCGCCCCTTCCTCCAGAGCCAGCTCTCCTCGCGGCTAGCACGCAAATACCAAGGGATAGATAGGATTAGCAGCTTCAAAGAGGATTCTGCAGCCCTCCCCCACAGGAGGATCCAACACTCTGGTCTAGTTCTGGAACAAAAATAAACCCTGACAAAGGAGAAAGTGCCTCTTTTAAGAGCATACGTCCCTTTCCCAGGTTTGTACCTCTTCCAGGCTGACGGGGGGGGGGGGGGAGCCCTTTTCATAGGCAAGTGTGTGCAATGGATCTGAGCACGTGAGGGCAGGTTCGACGTGCTTTCTCTGGCTTCCTAAGCAGGGTCAGAACTTGCGGGGGAGGTCTCGACCCCAAACCTCTTCTGGCTGCCTTTGGTAACTGATGGATAAACTCTACCAAGAAGCGCAATTGTGCGCCATAGAGAAAGCACTTTGCACGAACGTCTCTTTGCGCACTCTCCTAAGCTTAGGCCCCAAAGGATTAAGGTAATAAAACCTGCTTACATCGTCTTATAGTCTTGTCCAGGAAACAAAATTGCCACCCACACAGAGGAGCAAAACAACACCCCCCCCACTTCATTTCATCTCATCTCCCCCCCCCTTCAAACCGCCCCACACGGACAGTGGGAATCGCTGGTAGGGGTGGGGGCACCGGACTCCGACTCAGTGTAAACGTGCCCCAGCTGCACACGCGGTAACCCATTAACTTGGAATCTGGGGTAATTGTGGATGGTTTTCTATTAATAGGGGATAAAGCTGCTGCATACATTAGCGGTAATGCCCTGGCGCCCGCGTAAAATTAACTCCTCCCGGGCCAGCACAAGGAAATCATGTTTCCGCCAAGGCAGAGGTGTACACACACACACACACACACACACACACACACACGTTTAGAACCCCTTCCCTTAAACATGCCAGATTCCACTCCCATCCAGAGTGCAGGCAGTGGCGGTCGTTCCCGAGGGTTGTCTCCCGGGAGGGAGCGGTAGCGGTGGGTACAGTCTTGTGTCGGTCAGCTCAGCTTCGCCACGCAGACGGCCAGGGCCACGGCTGCCAGCAGTACAGCGCTGAAAACGGTGGCGGCTAGGGCCTTGCTCACGTCGCAAGGCCCGCTGCGCTCCTGTACAGACACGCCGCCCACCGAGGAGGCGCCGGCGCTGGCGCTGGACAGGAGCTCGGCGCCCGCCGTTTGGCGGGCCTGCACGGTCCAACGGGGCACGTTGACCTTCATCTCCATGTCGTGGATCATCTCGCTCACCTGAAGGATCTCCTGCTCCAGCTCGCGCAGGTCGTCCACATCGAAGTCGCGCTCCGCCTCGTGCCGCAGGCTGCGGGCGCTCAGGGCGCGCGCCGCTACTCCCGCGGAGCCGCCCGCGACGCCGGTGCGCACGAGCGGCCGCCGCGGAGTGTGCAGCGGGAACGCGGTGCCGAGAGCCAGCGCACGCCGCATGTCGGCTTCCAGCAGGTCCAGGCAGCCGGAGAAGGACACCCAGAGGCGCTCGAACTCCGCGCGCTCCTCGGCCGCCAGGCCCCGGTCGCGAAGTGCGGCTGTCAGCGGGGCGCGGATGGCCACCGCCAGCTTCTGTGCCTTGTGGCGCGTCTTCTGCAGCTCCTCGCGCAGGTTTTGCGAGTCCGCCGAGCCGCCGACGGTCAGCACCAAGTGGTGGTAGCATGCGGTCGTCTTGTTGAGAGCGTCCAGCAACGCCTTGCACTCCTCCCTTGCCATGGCGGTGCGCTCGGGCGCAGCCCGGCCGCCCGCACCCCTCTTCGCCCCACGCTCTCAGCTCGGCAGGACGCAGCCAGCCACGACGGCAGCCCGGGGCCGGGCGGTCTGCGCGCTTCTCATGGCCCGAGACTAGCTCGGTGCTGCCGCTGTCGACCGAGCCTCTCGGGCCCCACGACGTGCGCCTCCGCGGACCGGACGCAGAGAGAGAGCCCCGTTAGCTATCTCCCATCCCCTCGTTCATCATCCCCTGATGCGCTCCAAGTCACACGCCGAGTCTCTGCCCCGCTCTCGCCTCCACGATGGTCCTTTGCGAAGCCCGGATTGCGGTCCCCATCTTTCTCCCGTGCGGTCGCCAGCGGTAGCAGCCGCCGAGCCGCGCGCGGCGCCTTAGCCAAAGCCAAGGGCTGCCGGGTCGGGTTTCTTAGGATCCGCCCACCCCCGCCCGTCCTCCTGGCGCGCTTGCAACCCTTGGTCCAGGGATGGGCGGGGCCCCGCGCGGAGAGGTCACGTGTAGGGCCCCCATGTCCCCCTCCTCTGCACCCCGTTACAGTTTTGGAGACTAGGGCTCGGCAGTTCCAACCGTCCAGTATCGTAAAGATGGGGAAACTGAGGCACAGGTAAAAAGGGAGCCTAGGACACGTGACGTCCACGCAAGTGAGGGAAACTGAACCCAGGGACCCTAACTCCCAGTCCCTGCCAGCGACGTAGTGGTGTGCCTTGTAGTACTGGAGGACTTCGTCCTCGGAAGCTAGCAGTAAACGGTGACCCGCAGGGCGGGACGACTCCCTGGTTCTCTCTATCCAGATCCGGCCCGCTTTCCAGGGACCAAGCTTGGACCCCACCTCTCGAGTCAGATCAGCTTTCGGCCCCACCTCCTCCCTTTCTGGGCACGCGCAGTCCGCGGCTCCAGGCTGGTCCCGCCTGAGTAGGAAGCGCTGTGTGCCGCCTGAGCCCCACCCCGGCTGGGCGGGCTCAATGATTGCTCTGCGCACACGTCACTCTAGATAAGAACGGTCGCTCATTGGGCTGACCAGATGAGGCTCCGCCCAACGGCGGAGTAAAGGGGTGGGTGGTGGAGCAGAACTGCTGCGCTGGGGTGGTGGGCACCTAGGTCGGAGTCGAGGGCCCAGGAGGTGTCGCCACCGCTCCGGGAAGAGCAGGAAGTGAAACTATGTAGCCTTTTAAGTAAGTGTCCTCCCTCCTGTCTCGTCCCGCGCCTCTCTTCCCCCGGGACGGCTGCGCCTCGGGGCCTAGAGGCCGGGCGGGGCCCCGGAGCTGGAAGGGGGAGGGGCTCTTTTCTCTCCGTGGCGGGAGCCCCGCGGCGCCCCAGGCTGAGCTGGCTGCCCATGGGCGGCCCCCCAAGACCCCAGCTCCTCGCTGGTTGGGCCGCCCGCCCGAACTCTTCGGGTCCGGTCGGCAGTCGGGCTCGCTCTGCCCCTCGTGTGCGGACTGCGGGATGGCGAAGAATGTGCCCTTTGACCCCTGCGACTACGGGACGGGTCGGCGGGTGCGGGGGGCTGAGAGCTCGGACTTGGGGGCAGTGGGCGGGGCCGTGGCTCAAGCGCTGAGTGGCCTCGGGTCGTTCGCTGACTGCCTGACTTGGCGGCTGGAGGAGCTCCTAGGATGTGGGTGGGGGTCCGGAGCCTCGGGCCTTGCGGTCCCCGGGGATGGTGAAGGCGCAGGCAAGGAGGAGGGAATCCCTGTCAGCCAGCCATCTCGTCCTGCTGGGTAAAATTTACTCCAGGAAAACTTAAGCACCAAGAGATGTTCCAGATTCTGGGTCTGTCCAGTTCTTTTCGTTGAAGATAGACTGTCATGGGCTCGTGAGCCAGGAGATGTTGGGGACTTGGACACTAGAAACCGAAACCTGTGCTGGGCCACCACGAAGCAAGTGACGTGTCTTCATTGAGGATTTAGGACATTCAGGGAGGGAGGGACTGGCGACACTGGAGGGACTAATAGTTTGTATGCGAGCTGGGGTTTTCCAAGCTCACGGGTTTCATGGGGCGAGTACGCTATTTTGATTAAGGTACCCTCCCACCAGCCCCAGAGAAGAGCAGAGGATCTAAGTGAGATATTAGTGTTTTGAGTCTGCCTCTCCCAGCACCGGATTGAGGCCGTCCAGAGGATTCAGAGCGCCGGACCCCAGAGTTCCCTCTCACTGAGCTCTCTGTCCTTTTATCTGTTTGAGGCCGTTTGTGGCCAGGGCTTGGATGCTCCAAGCCTTGGCCATTCTCTGCTGGGGTGGGTCTTAGCCACCTACTGGCCAGATGGGGCCATGGCAAGGGAAGAGTAGCTCTCGAGAAATGGATAGGAGGGAGAACCCATCACTTTGAGGGAGATGAGGCTGCTGAGAAAAGTGGAAGGCCAGAATGAGAGGTCCTTAATGCCAGGCAGAGAAATTGAGAGTCCATCTAGTAGGAAGTTCAAGTAGGTAAGTCCTTGAAGAATGTAGTAGCCCCCTTTAATCCGTGGGGGATGTTTTCCAAGACCCCTGGTAGATGCCAGAAACTTTGGATAGTACCAAATCCTATACTGTTTTTCTTATACCCACATACCCGTGATGAGTTTAATATATAAACTAGGCACAGTAAGAGATTAACAAAAATAACAAATAAAATAGAACGGTTAGGAATGATGCACTGTGATAAAAGTTACGTAAACGTGGGCTCTCTCCAAATATCTTACGGTACCACACTCACTCTTCCGGTGATGATGTGAGATGATAAAATGCCTACATGATGAGATGAAGCGAGGGGAATGATAAGGGTATTATGATAATTGTGTTAGCTACTCTTGACTCTGACCATCTGTCAGAAGGAGAAGCTTCTGTTTCCAGACCCCAGTTGACCATGGGGAACCAAAACTGGAAGACGAAACTGAGGATAAGGGAGACGGCACTGTACAGACCTCAGTGTTGGAAAGATCGCCTTGTTGTCTTTTCATGCGGACCGGTTTGAGTAAGATCGGGAGGCAGGAGGCTCTGAGGGAGAAGTGCAGGATAGGAGCAGGGACGGATACTTGTGTCTAGCCCCAGTGACAGGAAAGCAGTTGAAGCTACTGTGGGTTTCCTCTCTTGACTTGGGCTTGCCATCTGAAATCACTCTGTCTGGCAGCATCGCCTGGAGAGCAAGCAGTAGTGTCTGCAGTCAACGTCTTGACTGTGTCTCCCAGTGTTTCCATAGGGGCTCTCCCTTTATTAGAATTAGATTGGTGGCCACTAACGTAATCCTCTCCTAGAGGAGCAGGGGAATGTGACCACGTGATGATAGATACCAGCCCTAGAAAGGATTCAGACCCCAATCCAGACCTCCTATGTCCGAGAGGCACCAAGAAGTGGCCCTCGAAACTCCCGCCTTTCTGCACGAGATTCTGGCACGAGTCGGGTGCTGGTGGCTCCTCTGGCAAGTTCTGGAGCAGGTGATGGTGTGTTTGGAGGGGAGGTTGTGCTCCTCCAAACTCTCCTGCTCCCTTAGTGGTCACAATCCTCTTCCAGCTCTGAGGCCTTCTCTCCCTGTGTGGCCCTCCACATTCCAGCTGTCGCTGTGTTTAGCCAGCTCTGAGCACACTGTTCGTTTCTGGCTTTTTGCCAGCACCTGCATGGCTGCCTGGGGCCAGCCCCTCCCCCTCCCCTGGATAAGGGCAGTGGATTTTCCAGCTCCTATGAGAGATGACCCCTCCCTGGGAGCTTGCGCTTCCTCCAACAGCCCACTATCATTTTGTTCAAGTGGACGACCCAGTTACAGCCTGCCTACTGTGAGCCAGGTGGCCAGACACAGGCTGGATGCTTTGAAGAAGAGCTTTGAGAAAAATATGGATAGGATCTCTAGGTGTTACAGGCCGGAAGGACCTAAGTGACTGTAATACCATACGTTACATCATCCAACTGCTTCCATTTGCTAGTAAATGTAGATGAATTTGAAAGCTTTCCCTTTTCGCCTTTTCCTTCTGAATCACAAATTAAGCTAGTTGGAGAACGTTGCTCATCATTTGGAAAATACGCCTGGTCAAGATATTGGGTGAGGGCCCTGGAAGGGTGGGGGCGACCATAGTGGTAAGATTTCAGCCGGGAGTTTAACTCTGGGAGGCGCAGACTTTCTCCTATGTTAGATTCTGCTGGGCGAGGTTGCACGCTGTCACCAGATGGTCCCTGACCACCCAGCCTCATTGTGGCTGATGGGACTGTTGAAGACCACGAAACCACAAGCGTGCACACCACCTCTTGAAATGTCCGGTGCTCGTTTGAGACCTTGCCTGGCTCTCCTGTTCATAGAGGAACCTCAGATATGCATGCTCAGGGGGTTTGGTATCTGCGACTAATTTTCACATTGGATTTGCTGCAAATCATCCTATCATTTGAGCTTCATTAGGGGTGGAATTTTTTCTTAAAGGTGTCTCATAAAAGGATTTACTCATCTTTCCAGTTTTATAAGGAAGAATCTGTTTACTTTGCATGTTCTTTTAAAATCTAAAGCTACTTCTGGCCAGTAAACTTGTTCAGGGTGTTAACCTATTTTAAGTATTGACCTCTGTAGGAGAATTCCATTCTGGCATTTAAGCACCAGATTGTATTGGATTATTACATGTTTAAAAAAAATTTTTTTTTAATGTTTTATTTATTTCTAAGAGAGAGAGAGACAGCATGAGCAGGGGAGGGTCAGAGAGAGAGGGAGACACAGAATCTGAAACAGGCTCCAGGCTCTGAGCTGACAGCACAGAGCCCGATGTGGGGCTTGAACCCATGAACCGTGAAATCATGACCTGAGCCAAAGTCGGATGCCCAACTGACCGAGCCACCTAGGCGCCCCTGATTACTAAAGGTTTTTAACACTGGGATGAAAAGGTTCACAATGGCACTAGACAGAGCCCTTGGAATCCTTACTCCTGGACAGAGAGTTCAGTCAGTGGCAACCAGGAGGAATGATGTCCCAGAGGAAACAGATGACTTGGGACTGAAACACAGCAAGCTCTGTCCCATGCTTGCTCAGTCTTGTGTGTTTCCTGCATTTGAATGCAATGTTTTCTTTGTTTATAAAAATTTTTTTCATTGTATTTCTTTTTTTGAGGGGGGGGGGCATCCACAAGTGGGAGAGAGGGGCAGAGGGAGAGAGAGAGAAAACCCAAGCAGTTTTCTGAGCATGGAGCCCATTGTGAGCATGGAACCCATTGTGGGGCTCGATCCTATGATGCTGGGGTCAGGACCTGAGCCGAAATCAAAAGTTGGACACTTAACCAACCGAGCCACCCAGGCATCCCTGAATGGGATGTTTTTATGTGGCCTTCAGGAGCCCTCTTTATCTTGCTGCCCCTCTCTGACCGGCACTATTTGGATTCTTGTTATTTCCCTGGACTCACTCATCTAGTAAAAAAAAAGTGTACTCTTGGGTTTCTGTTCCTGCTTTGCAAACCTTTGGCTTACTCTGGTCCCTGTCAGGGAGGCTTCTGCTCCCTATTCTCCCCCCCCCCCGCCCCCCCACCTTCCCTGCTTCTCCCTTCTCTTGTCTGGTCCTTACCTGCCCCAGCACTGCTCTGGGTTGGTTTTACTGTGCTGATGCACATTCTTTGCCTCCCAGCTAGGTTGTCACTTCCTCCATCAGAGCCTGCCTGTGTCGCCTCCATCTTGGGTGTAGAGGTCTTGACGCTGAGCTGGCATCTTGTTTAAGGAGCAGGAGTATCCCTTCCCAGCTTCATTCTGCCCGTATCGCATCCAGTCTCTCATGCAGTTTCTGTCCAAGGGGTCTTTTCTTTAGCACTCTGCCGTATAGAACCAACTGTGTCAGAAACCAGGAAGAATTTTTGTTTTCTAGTGACCCTGTCACAGCAAAATCACATTATCCAGTTGTTCTGGTAGGGACTCGTAAAAGGATTATTTGGGCTCCAGTAATAATTGAATTCAACAATTCAGATACCTGAATTGTTACAGAGCCATCTCTGGGGCCCAGGAAGGGATTATATGTAGCCTTTTTCATGCTAGGGCCCTCCTCTAAGAGGATTTGCAGGGAGCTCAGGGGCCTCCTTCAGACAGGCCCCAGGAGGGCCTGTGGCAGAGACAGTTCTGGCTGGACCGGAACAGGGGACTTCAGTATAGGGCCTATGTGGCTGTCCATCGTGGTGACTTTTCCTTTGGGGGAATCTGTTCATCTGTGACTCATGAAATAACCCTTAATCCAGGCTTACTTATTTTA